AATGACACAAAGGAGCTACTGCAACATCCGGAATTCCATTCCGACCCCTATATCAAAATCTCACCTGTCAACCGAAAAACGTCAAAATCTCAATTTCGCCAATTCAAGCCTAAACTTCCACGGACCTCCAAAATGTATTCTGATCACGCTCCTAAGTCCCAAATCACCTAACGGAGCTAACCAAATCATAAAAATTCTAATCCGAGATCATATACAAACAAGTCAAAACTTGGTCAAACCTTTCAAATTTCAAGCTTCAAACTGAGAACTGTTCTTCCAAATTTATTCTGATTACCCTGAAAACCAAAACCAATGATTTACATAAGTCATAATACATCACATGGAGCAAGTCATGCCCGAGAACTGGCGAGCAATACGCAAAAGCTCAAAATGACCGGTTGAGTTGTTACAGCAATATATTAAAAATTAATTAGCGACGGATACTTTCCGTAGCTAAATTTATCCCGTAAAATAGCGACACAATTTTACTATGTATTGCAGCGACGAAAGGCTTCAAAATAGCGACAGAAACAAGCAATATAGCGACAGTTATTTCCCTCGCTAACCTTTGCTACAGATATATGTCGTCGCTAATCCGTCGCTAATTTTGTGACGGTTTGGTATTTTTCATTGCTATAAATGTAGCTACGAGCATTTTAGGGACCAACATGAATCCGTAACTAATTCGTCGCAAAACAACTGTAGCGACGGAAAACATTAATTTAGCGACAGAATGCGACCGTTGCTAAATGCTATTTTTTTGTAGTGGAAATACCTCTGGGAACTCACACATAACTGGTACTGAATCCATGGAAGGATAGGTGTACGACCAAAATGAATAGGAAAGATCTTGGTGAACTTATCCAAAGTCTTCAATCTCTCAGAAGACATCGTGGGCCTCTTCCGGGCTGTGTAGCACTACCGGGCTGAACCTCTCCAATTGCTAGAACCGTCAGAGTATGATATATGGGAGCCATATTCTCCGGAGTGTGACTAGCGGGAGTTTGGGCTCCTCTCCTAGCCTGAGTGACAGATGGTGCCATAGGAAATACTCCGTCCTGGGCTACACTCTCCATAAGGTCCACTAAGCGGACTAGGGAGTTCTAAAGTACGGGAGTAGAAATGAATCCCTCCGGGACCTGAGCAGGTCCAACTTGTGCAGTCTGAATAGGGACTTCCTCCTCCTACTCGATTTGAGGCTCTGTAATGGGAAGGGGAAGATGCACCTTGAACGAAGCGGTATCATGCGACACCGCTTTGTCGGAAAATTTTACTAGTTATATATATTAATACTGTAAGGAAACAAATAAGTAGGAAACAATGAAAATTGCTTAATATAAGTTGTCTCTTGGCGTGTTGGTTATGTGTCTGATTTTGCTCTAAGAGGTCAAAGGTTCAAACCTCAACTTGTACATTTGTTTGTAAATATTTGAGATAGCCTCTGTGGTTAAAAATTATGATGAAGCGGATTTGAACTCAGGGCCTTTTCTAACTTAAGACTCAACAAAACCAATAGATAAAAGCTATTTCTTGTTAAGAAATATGATAATTAAAGTTATTATTCTTGTTCTTTTATAAATTTCGACACCGCTTACAAAAATTCTTGCATATGCCCCTGGCAATGGTGTTGATTGCGTGCCCTAGGCTGAGCTCTGCCTCGGCCCCTACCCCTTACCCTGGTAGTGGCTGCAACCTGGGGCTCCGGCTCATGCCCGGCTATGGATGTTGTGCATCTCCTCACCATCTGCAAGGGAACAAGAATGGAATGATTCAAACTTCAATGATAGAATAAAATCACACAATAGAGAAAGTAAGAAGTGAAATTTTCCTAAAGCCCTACAGTCTCTAGAAGATAAGTACAGACGTCTCCATACCGATCCTCCAGACTCTACTAAGCTTGCTCATGACTCGTGAGACCTAGGCAACCTAGTGCTCTGATACCAATTTGTCACGACCCGAAATTCCAATCGTGGGGTCATGATGACGCCTAACATCCACTTGCTAGGCAAACCAACGTTAGTTGATTACTTAACCAGTCTTAACAAATTATAACAGAGTAGTGATAACTAACAATTGATAAACTCGGGAATGAACAAAGTATTACATAAATAACACTGTACTAAATTTACACCTAGAAATTTGGAGTCACAAGTACATGAGTAACAAGAAAACTACAAATATAGTCTGAACTAAGTTACAACTGTTTGAACTATATAAACAGTAAAATATGAAGAAGGGGACTTCAAGGACTGCAAACACCAGCACCTCTACCTCAACTCTCCAAAAGTAGTTGAATTTGAGCAGTCTTCGCTACGCACTACTAGGACCAACACCGGAATATGCACAAGAGGTGCAGAAGTGTAGCATGAGTACAACCGACCCCAAGTACTCTATAAGCGTCAAGCCTAATCTCGACGAAGTAGTGACGAGGCTATGGCAAGTCACTCACAATAAACCTGTATAAAATAATAATAACAGAATACAGGAAAAGAAATAAAGCAGTAAACTCATATACTCAGACCCGAATATCAATTACCAGAAGGCCCCAGAATAATATGATCTCAAATCTCATATTACAAGGTCGAGATAAAACTTTACAACAACAAATAACTATAACACATCAACTATGTCGTGGCATGCAACCGGATCCCAACACTTAACACAATAACTGTTGTAGTGTGCAACCTGATCCCCAATGATTTTGACAACTCAACACAACCATTGACAAAAATCTCAACACGAAAGGAAATGAATGAGCGGAACATTAAAGAACTACCAGTAGAAACGAAGGATAACCAATACCTCATAATCCCAAATCTTGGCAAAACATTAATACCAGAGTAACTAAATGGCTCACGTGAATGGAATAACATAATAAAGTGCATCAACTAATATAAGGACAAATAAAGCAAGTAAAATATGAGTCAATGAAAATATATAATTAATGCAATTAGAAATATGTAGCAGATATTGGGTGATAGATATGCATATAGAAACAAGTATCAATTACATGGCATGTAACAAGTAAAGCATGAATAACAAATATGAACATGTATCAATTAAAATATGTAACAAGAGATAATATGGGATAAATGAAGACATGAAAGTAAATAGCCCAAACTCTGCCTACTTAAATCCCATAGCAGCACATATACACTCGTCACCATGCATATACGCCATTTTATCTCATAATTCAAATAGCAAACAACCAGCAAATCCTAATTCTCTCAAGTAAAAGTTAGATACTACATTTACCTCACTCCGAAACAAAATCAATCAACCACTCATGGCTTTGCCTTTTGAACAAGCCTCCAAACAAACTGAATCTAGTCAATTATCGTTCAGATAATTCAAAATAAGCTTTAGGAACTACCCATTAATGAAAAAGGTTCAATCTTTGTTGAAATTGAAAGGTCAACAAAAGTCAACCCCGGGCTTGCTTGGTCAAAATTCGAGATCCGGGCCAAAATTCGACTATCCATTCACCTTTGAGCCTAGTTATATGATTGGTTTCGAAATCCGAACTCAATTTGTGGTCTAAATTTTAATTTTGGGAAATTTTCAAATTCTACTCAAATCCCTAATTTCTACCATGGAAATCCTAGATTTGATATTAAAAACTCATAAAAAGTAATGGGGAAATGGTGTAAAATAAGTTAAATCCCGTTTTTCCCTGTTTTACCCAGCTTAGTCGCAAATACGACATTTTATTTGCAAATGCAAACTGCCCCCCCTCCCCCCCCCTCCCGCAAAATTGCAAATGCAGAAAAACACTTCACAAATATATCACAAATGCGATTCTGAGATCGCAATTGTAAAATGTTTCTTTGCAAAAGCGAAGTTCTAGCCTACCGGCCCAACATCACAAATGTGAACTCCTGTTCGCAAAAGCTAGGCTCGAAAATGTGAGCTAGACCCCACATTTGCGATATCTACAACAAACATCAGAACTGAAAGCACACTAGTGGATGCATTAGTGCCCAAACTCATCCGTAACATATTTGAAACTCACCCGAGGCCCTCGGACTCCAAATCAAACATGCACACAAGTCTAAAAATATCATACGAACTCACTCGCACGATCAAAGTATCCAAATAACATCCACAACCACTAATCGGACATTAAAACACATGAAATCCAAAAGGAAACTCAAGAGTAGCTAGAGGCATAATCAAGCGTCTGATTCCTGTCAAACCAACTCAGAATTACACTAATTTTTTAGACAAGTTTCAAATAGCAAAATGGATCTATTCCAAGTTCCAAAATCAAAATCTGAACCCGATAACCATAAAGTCAACCTATGATCAAACCTAAGGATTTTCTAAACATTCAGATTGCCAACTTTAGACGAAACAAGTCAAATAAACCTAGGGACCTCTAAATTCAATTCCGTGCATACGTCCAAGTCCAAAATTATAATACGAACCTACCAAAATCGTCAAAACACTGATTCAGTGTCATTTACCCAAAATATTGATCGTGGTTAACTTAGCCTCATTTTTAGTCAAAATTTCCATTTTCTTCAAAATTTTACATAAAGCTTTTCGAAAAGCGACAAAGACAATGCACCCAAACCAAGAAACATCAAATAAAGCTATGGGAGGTCTCGAATCATGAAAATTAAGGTTAGTATTCAAAATGACCTATCTGGTTGTCACACACTTCGATAAAAAATCTTCATTACCGTCAAATTATTTGCAACTAGAATATAACCCACTTTGAATCAGTGTTCAACTTTGCTCCGATATCAATTATTTGGATCAAAATTACTAGGCGTTATGCGAAAGCTAACAAAACAAATCTTGGATGACGGTAAATAAGGTAACAAAGAAATATGATTCACTAATTCAAAAGCGAATACAGATTTTTAGAGAACAATTCTGTAATACTCATTAAAAAATAGGGTAATAAAGTAATTTACAAAAAAATCAACTAATAAAAAAATAATAAAAGATGAAATGGGGGCAAAACCCTTCGCTAACAGAAACAAAGGAAAAAAGGTAAAGCAGCTTAGTTCGGCAGAAGCAAAACGCACAGCGAAAAGTATCCACAAATTCGGTTTGCTCTGTTCAAGCAACGAGATTTACGGAGGAGGAGAACAAGCTAGGTAATTGAATTCTAAAACTTTTCCATGGTAAGTCTGATTCCTTTACTCAATATTTAGCATAATATTAGCTATTATTTCATTAAACTAAGGGAATTTGGTGTAAAAAAATAAATCCTTGCCAGCCACTTTATAAAACCAAAGGAAACGTGAGGTTTCACTTTTTCTACCATCGAAGAGGACCACAAGTATTCAACACAGAAAGCTAATTAAACAAAGAAGAAGAAGATAAATTTCTAAACTCAATTCATAGATTTGATTCATAAATTTCATGGCTATAGAGTTGGGTTGAGAGTTAGTTGAAGAATTAATATTTATGAAATAATAGAGTCCATGGAATTTTTAATGAATTGGTGAATACACTATATGTTTGGGCCTGGAAACTTATATATTATTGTATATACCAATAAAAAAGATATTCCTTCATAAGCTTTTCCATCTCGGTAGTGATTGATAACCAAATATGATTGCTACTAATATTGGTGATATTGGAATAAAATAAGATTACAATGGAATTTTGATAGCTGTGAGTTGGGATACTGAAATGGGTCATGACATTTCAAGTAAAATAAGAGGAATTATCGGGTAAATATAATTCGACGAATTAAGAGACAAATATAAAACTCGGAGGATTGGGTATTCTAAATTAGTGATGCATTTAGCCTAAATAAGGTAATTAACACGAGATCGATGTTGATGTGGTTATAGATTGATTGAAGAAAGTCGTACGGATCGCTCGAGGTGACGAGTTTGGTATTTCACACGAGTAATGTGAGTAGTAATCTTACCGCAATTTGTGTTTTTATAATTTGCATGATTTACACATGATTTTTAATATGAATATGTTACCGATTATTTTGAGTTGTATGTGGGACAAGTCTTTTACTCGATATGATACCGAAATAGTTATTTGAGATGATTACCGTTATTTTAAATATTCTTATTGTCACTAGATATGTTTTACCGTTACTTGAATTTACTGTTATCGCAATGAAATTACATGATTTGATAAGAACTGAAATCCCTTATATTGTTTTAAAATATTTTCCTACGAGTATATATACAGATTGCAAAGACAAGTATAAATGGGAGTATGCTTTGAAGGATTCCGTAGCTAACGGAGGGTTCGTTAGACCTGGTGCACCTTGTAATTATCGATTACTTACAGCCCTCGTTAGTGAGCAGGTAGAACTAGCATACCGTTACTGATTTCCCTCGAGTAGGAACTACCGTTATATTTTACTTCTTGCGAAGAAGTCCACAATTATACCGATTACATGATTCGTTCATTGAAATCTCCCAAATATGAATATTGATATTATATAGTGGTTACCGATATTATTACTGAATTGTCAATTGTATTATACTACAAGAAAAATATGATGAGACTGAAAATTATTTATTGTTTCTGAAAGGGCATTTTTATGATATTTTTTGTTTAATATACTAGCATGTTTTCTGACTTGTCTCCAATAAAAATGATTGTAGTTAAGTGTTATTACTCACTGAGCTAGCGACTCACTCCCCATTATTTTTTATACAGAGAAAGCAATTGATGCAAGCGAGGATTTTGTTAATTAGAGCGCGCAGGTCGATACTTTTTGGTGAGCCCTGCACTCGTTCGCGTGGGGGAAGAGTTTTATTTATTTGCTATAGTCTATTATTTTACTCTTAGAATTGCTCCATCGTTATCTTATTAGTGTCGAGAGTATTTATTTGTTGATATGGACTAGTCACTAGTATTACACTTTCTTTCCATATTTTTAGAGTTGGTTTTGGTTCTATTATGTTGAGGAGGTTGGTAATATTAGTGGAAATCCGATTGTGGTTAGTTGATGAAAATTGTGACTGATTTAGGTGAATATTGGTTGGTTTTTATTTGTTTATGAGACAAAAAAAAATTTGGATAGTCCAAAAATAGGGGAAGCTCTATCTGATTTTCTGTAAAATACCGATGAGGCTTACTTGGGAGCACTTGCTCCTGAGCTCCGGTCACGATTCCAAATTGGGTTGTGAAAAAGTTGGTATCAGAGCTTAGACTTTAAGTCTCGGGTCATGGAGCAATGTTTAATAGAGTCGGGTTCATGGGTACGCAGACACTCATACTTACGATCTTGAGGCTACTACACTTCTAAGAATGTTTTCCCTTCTTTCATTCTTTGATCGTGCGTTTGTGATAACTTGATATTGACTTTGGAGTATTTCTTTCACAGATGGCTAGGACACACACACCCTCATCTGCTGGACGTGGTACTACCCAAGGTGGCGATCATGTTGGTGTTCATCAAACTAGATGACAGGCTACTCCTCAACCTGAAGTTGGTAACATGGGTCAACCCCAAGCTACTATGTCAGATCAAGTGCAAGAACAGGGGGTTCAAGATGCTCTATCACTAGTGCCAACTGTTGTACCTACTGTTACCTTACATGCAAATGCAATGGCAAGGTTATTGAATGTGTTAGAGGCATTGGTGCCTACTCAAGGTGGAGGTTTAGCTCCTCAGGCTACTTTACAGACACAAGCACCTGCACAAATTCAGACTTTCGGGAATAAGGAGGTATCCCTACAAGAGTTCTTGAAATTGAAATTACCAAAATTCACAGATTCTGATAATTCAGCAGATCCTTAAAGTTTCTTGGATGGGACACTCAAGACATTACGTGCTCTAGGATTTTTTAGTGAGAGAGCCATGGAGCTCGTAGTATACAAACTGGAGGATATGGCCAACATATGGTATGAAACTGTATTGCTAGGAAGGCCAACAGGAGCAGTACCACTGACATGGAACGAGTTCAGTTAGTTGTTCATGGATCATTTTCTTCCAGATAACCTAAGGCAAAAATATGCTAGAGACTTTGAGAGATTAGTTCAGACTCCAGATATGGATGTGTCAACCTATAACATCAAGTTTTGTAATCTGGTTAGATATGCTCCTTACTTAGTGCCTACCCAAGAAGCTCGAGTTTAGAGATTTGTTGATGGGTTGGTTGGTCGTCTATATACTGTAGTAGCCCCATAGATGAAGACTTTGTCCTACTCTAATGTAGTCGATCTCGCTAGAAAGATTGAAAACAAGGGACGTGACGAGCGTGCAGCCAGTGATTTACGTAAGAAGGCCAGGACAGGGCGATCTTTCAGTGGCGGTTTTAGTGAAAATTGCAGAGCAGGAAGTCAGGGACATCAGTAATAGGGTTCTTAGATAGGGACACACTTGTCTTCACAGTCCACATACAGGCCATATTATAGACAGGCTACTAGGGGACCATCATCATCTGGACATCATAATTTTGGGTAGATATATGCCACTACTCCAGTCTACCAGGCCTGTGGTAGATCACATTTGGGCCAGTGTAGTGTTCTAATTGGAGAGTGCTTTCGGTGTGGCCAGTTGGTACATCACTTGAGGGATTACCCTTAGCCTCCGAGGGATTTCGACTAGGCTTCTATTCAGTCAACTGCACCCACTCAAACTACTCGTAATACTTCAGGTGCTACAAGTACAGAAAATAGAGGTCGAGGTGTTGGAGATCGTGCTACTGTGAACCAAGGACAAGGGAATGCTGGTAGAGGTCAGGCGAGAGTTTTTGCATTTACTAGATAGGATGCTCAGGCCTCGAATGTTGTGGTTACAGGTATTCTTTCTATCTGTTCATTTGATGCACTTGCGTTGATTGATCTGGGATCTACTCACTCCTATGTGTCCTCATACTTTGCTTTGAGGTTTAGTAGACAACCTGAGTTATTGAATGATCCCTTTCTAGTTGCTACTCCTGTTGGAGAGTCACTATTAGCTGAATACATGTATCGTGCTTGTCAAATTCAGGTTGAGGGTAGAAATACTCTAGCTGACCTTATTGTACTTGATAGATTGACTTTGACATGCTGATGGAAATGGATTTGTCACGACCCCAGTTCGCCATCCGTAAATTGTCGTGACGGCACCTAGTCCCTACGACTATATAAGCCTAACAAATTGCGGGAAAAGAAACAAATAGAACAAAACTAGCCAAAACTGTCGGAATAACAAAATGAAGTGTTTAAGATGCCGCTCGGCATATACAATACAACTCTCAAACTGAAACTACATTCCCAAAACCTGGAATCTCATGAAATCACAAGCTATTGAATAACTACAAGTGTCTAAGTCCAGAATGTCTTAAAAAAAGTTAACACGGAAGGGCTACTACTTTGAGAGAGAATAGAAAGGGACTCCTCGGTCTGTGGATGCGGCAGATATACTTCGAAGTCTCTGCAAAATCGCCTTGCCTCAAGGGTAGTAGGGCTGAGTCGAAATACCTGGATCAGCACATGAAAAACATGAGCAGAAAGGGCATGAGTACACCACAGCAGTACTCAGTAAGTGTCAAGCCTAACCTCGGTCGGGTAGTGACGAGGAAAGTCAGGGCCCTACTGAGGTTAATTGAAATATAAGGTATAACAGTATAGAATAAGACAACATAATTAAGTATAGTAGTAAGAAGTAACACAGGAGAGAAAGAAGAACAACAGCTACCACAGAGAAAAATAATCACAGAAGGAATACAGCTCAACACAGATATAACAACCGGGGATCTCCCAGGATACCGTCCTGTAGTCCCAAATGTAAATATCCAGTGGATCTCCGGGTGTCGTCCCGTAATCCAACTCATAGTGCATGGGGATCTCCCGGAATATCGATCCGTAGTCCCAAATGTAAATGCTCGGTACTGAGGGAATTTACCCGGTGCAGTCCCGTAGTTCCAATATAAAAGTGCATGGGGATCTCCCAAGATACCGTCCCGTAGTCCCAAAGTAAACACACAGCAACAACACGAAGAATACACAATTCAATTCAAATTTCATACCAACGTAAAATAGGTATTTCTAGCCTAGCATGCTGCACATAATCCAAATAAGGCAGTTTGAGAAAGTAAAGCAATTAAGTCAATTAGACATGCTTCCCTAAGCTAACAACAGGCTTAAATTACAAGTAGTATAAACAAGAAAGGAAAACACGATTAAGGAAAACCGGATTTTCAACAATTAGCACAAGTACGCACTCGTCACCTCACGTACAAGGTATTTCAAATATCAATAATACCAAATCCTAAAGGGAGTTTCCCCCACACAAGGTTAGGCAAGCCACTTACCTCGAACCGGCTTAAAATCAACCCAAAGCCACGCTCTTGCCACGAGTACTCGACTCCAAATGGCCCTATTCAAATCAATTGCATAATGTAAATATAACTTCAAGTAACTGATTCTACTAATTAATTCTAAGCTAATACACGAAATTAGGAAAATGACCAAAACGCCCCCGGGCCCACGTCTCGAAATCGGGTAAAATTTACAAATTCGGAATCCTCACACTTTCACGAGTTCATATATATAGAAATTACTCCAATCCGCCATCAAAATCTTGATCCAAATGCAAAAATTAGGTCTAAGAACTTGTCCAACTTTTCTCCAATTTTTCCACCCCCAATTAGAATTTAAAGGATGAATTTAAGCATAAATTTGTGGAAATTAGTCAGAACCGAGTAAGAATTACTTACCCAAAATACCCAGGTGAAAATCTCTCTCAAAATCGCCAATCCCGAGCTCCCAAATCAACTTCTAAGGGTTTGAAACTAAACCCTCGATTCTGCCCCTTTTCTGACCAGTGAAACCGCATCAGCGGCTCTGGGACTGCACCTGCGGTCCCGCTTCTGCGAAGACAAAGTCGCACCTGCGACTTTTCATTAAACCCAATTTTCCTCTTCTACGACTGCCTTTTCGCACCTGCGACCTCGCAGGTGCGTTCTCCTTCTTGCACCTGCGGCATCTGGAGCCTAGACCAATTTCCGCTTCTACGATCACCTAGCCGCTTCTATGGTGCCACACCTACGTCCCACACACGCAGGTGCGGTTATGACAACAATCCAACAGCTTCAGCTACAAATTCCCAACTCCAAAATTCCTGTTAACCATCCGAAATTATCCCGAGGCCCCCGGGACCTCAACCAAAAGCACGAACAAGTCATATACCACTATCCAAACTTATACCAGTCCTCAAAACACCTAAAACAACATCGAAACATCGAATTAACCATGGATTCAAGCCTAAAAACTCAAAAAACTCCCAATTTACGCTTTCAATCAAAAATTATATCAACCCTCGTCCGAATGACCTGAAATTTTACACACACGTCGCATTCAATTCTACGGAGCTACTCCAACTTCCGGAATTGCATTTCAACCCCGATATCAAAATCTCATTATCGAACCGGAAACTTCAAAAATTCAACTTTCGGCATTTCAAGGCTAAATAAGCTACGGACCTCCAAAACACAATTTGAACACACCCCTAAGCCCGAAATCAACCAACGGAGCTAACGGAATCAACAGAATTCCATTCCGAGAACGTCTTCACACTGCTTCAACTACGGTCCAAATTCTAAAACATAAACTCTCATTTAGGGACTAAGTGTCCCAAAAACTCTCCGAAACTCCAAACAAATCTCCTGGAAGCTCACAATAGCAGAAACAAACACGAGGAATGCAGTTATTAGGGGATTGGGGCATTAATTCTTAAAACGATCAGTCGGGTCGTTATAGGATTGGTTATCATCTTGCTATGCTATCTTCAATTGTCATGCAAAGATATTTAAGTTTGAGATACAAAACGAACCCAGTTTCGTTCTAAAAAGGGGTCAGGTTCCAGAGATTTGCTAAGTTGTATCTTTTAGGCTCAACGGCTTTTGAAGAAAGGTTGTTTGGGTCTCTTAGCTATTGTAAATGACAGAATGGAGGAAACAATTAGTATAGAAAATGTACCAGTAGTGAGAGAATTTTCTGATGTATTTCTTGAGGATTTACTAGGATTGCCTCCAGTACGAGAAATAGACTTTGGTATTGATTTGCCACCTGACACACAGCCCATATCGATACCCCATATCGGATGACACCAGCAAAGTTGAGGGAGATAAAGCAACAGTTGCAGGATTTGTTATATAAGGGCTTTATTAGTCCTAGTGTATCACCATGGGGTGCACCAGTCTTGTTCGTAAAGAAGAAAGACGGATCTCTAAGAATGTGAATTGACTACAAGCAGTTGAACAAGATAACAATACGCAATAAATATTATTTGCCTCGTATAGACCACATGTTTGATCAATTACAAAGAGCTTCCCACTTTTCAAAGATTGACCTCCGGTCTGGTTCTCATCAGCTTAAAATTAAAGATGAAGATATTTCCAAGACTTCTTTTAGGACTCGATACGGGCATTATGAGTTTCTTGTGATGCCTTTTGGACTGACTAATGCTCCAGTTGAATTCATGGATTTAATGAATAGGGTGTTCAAGTCGTTCCTGGATAGATTTATAATAGTATTTATTGATGATATCCTGATATATTCTCGTAGCCAAGGTGAACACGAGAATCATCTCAGGACTGTGTTGCAGACATTGCGAGAACATCAGTTTTATGCTAAGTTCTTGAAGTGTGAATTTTGTCTAGACTCAGTAGCATTTTTGGGGCATGTTGTATCTAAAGATGGAATTATGGTAGATCCTAAGAAGACAGAAGCTGTGCAAAAATGGCCCAGACCTACTTCTCCTACAGAGATTCGTAGTTTTCTAGGCTTAGCAGGCTATTACCGGCATTTTGTGCAGGATATCTCCATAATAGCAGCGCCACTGACTAAGCTAACTCAGAAAAATGCAAAGTTTCAGTGGATGGAGGAATGTGATCATAGCTTTCAGAAACTCAAAACATGTTTGACAACTACACCAATATTAGCCTTACCATCAGGTTCCGGAGGATTTACAGTGTTCTATGACGCATCGAGGGTGGGATTAGGATATGTTCTCATGAAAAGTGGTCGCGTTATAGCTTATGCTTTGAAACAATTGAAAAAGAACGAGCAAAACTATCCTACACATGATTTGGAGATGGCTGCAGTGGTATTTGCTTTAAAATTTGGAGGCATTACCTATACGGTGAAAGTTGTGAATTTATACTGACCATAAGTTTGAAGTACATTTTTCAGCAGAGGGATCTAAATCTTCGGCAACGTCGGTGGATGGAACTATCAAGGACTATGATTGTTCTATTTTGTATCATCCTGGAAAAGTCAATGTGGTGGTTGACGCATTGAGCAGAAAATCTATGGGAAGTTTGGCACATATAGTTCCTACAAGGAGACCTTTGGTTGAAGATATGCATAGACTAGAGGTTACAAACGTCAGATTTAGTGTCGTAAGTTCAGAGGTATTGTTGGCTTGTGTTTAGGCTAAGTCTTCATTAGTCGAGCACATTAAGGCCACCCAATATGAGGACGAACGATTATGCAAATACAAAGATGAGACCTTAGTTGGTAAATGCAACGATATGATTGTTGAAAGTGATGGTGTTCTTCGAATGGGTGACAAGCTATGTGTAGCAGATGTAGACGGGTTGAGACAAGCTATTCTTGAAGAAGACCACAACTCTAGATACACTATACATCCTGCATCCACAAAAATGTATCATGACCTAAAGCAATTTTATTGGTGGGAAGGCATGAAGAAAGATGTTACTAACTTTGTTTCTAACTGTTTGACTTGTCAGTAGGTCAAGGCTGAGCATCAGCGACCCGCAGAACTACTACAACAAATTGAGATTCCGGAGTGGAAATGAGAAAGAATTACCATGGATTTTGTGACTAGCCTACCCCGTACTCTTAGAGGTTATGATTATATGTAGGTAATTGTAAATCGACTGACAAAATCAACACACTTTTTGCCAGTGAAGACTACATATACGTACTTGAGTTAAATTCGGGGACCGAATTTCATAAGGTGG